ATGGTCTTGGGTACCTGCACATTGAACTTACATATATTCGATTCAGCTTGTATAGCCAAGCAAAAAAAAATCGTGTGCACATTCATATATTCTGTACTTTCAAACATATTGGTATAGAATAGCAGTTATTGATGTTGACACACTAATATACTATTCAGTATTTCAAACACTACTGCTCACACAGCAATATATATACATGTGGCAGCACGTCGAGATACATATTATAAATATATTGCTATCCTTTGTGCACAACCGCACATACCAGTCTCTTCTTTTTTGACGGCGGCTTTGGCCTGGTGGGTTTTAATCACTTTCGACAGCATCACGATATGCGCACTACCTGCCCAGTGCTGCGTTCTATTTACAACCTACTAGATTTCTATACAGAAAGTGGGTCACCTTATACCAAGCGGTGTAGCTTGTGAAAGCGCTTGACATTCAGTATTCATGTATGGCTCACACATTAATAGTTGTTTTAACATAAAATATTAAATAAGGTATCCATCAGAGAGTTAAATACAGCAACTGTGCGAGTAAATAAATAAGTACAGACATTCACTGCTTCGCATCTTTCGGAGGGCCCGGGGAAGGCTTTTCTGTTTTTGTAGAAAAAAATAGTCAGCTCCTTACATAGTTACGATCACGAGCAACCAATTGAGTGTGTGATTTGCTCTAGGGATGGCTGCACTCTTGTAAATTAAAAAAAGTAAATAAGAGGTAAATAAATACTTCGTATGTAAATAATCATACTGCATACTAGTAGTCGAGTGTATTGCTGGATGTAGCTAGCGCTTGTGCTTATGGGGTTCTTCTACAGACATTAACTTCTACTGAACGACATAACTACACCATCTCATCAACTGGTATATCATAAGACTCTTTTGTAACCTAATAAGAACACGTCGAAACCCATCAAGCATACATCACGAGATTGATCTCTGTTATTCACAATATTTTCGATATTCATATAGTAGTTAGATACGATATACCTTTAATCCTACTGCACCATGTTAAAGGCCGGTTCGGAACTACCCGAGGCACCGGTGTACACCGCAGCCGAGAGCAGAGAACATCTGCAAGACATATGCAAGGAATCTGGTTTGGAGTCGTTTCTCGAATCAAGTTTTGATGCGGACGCGTACACAGCTACGGTTATAACCACACGTGCTGTCGAGGAGACGCTGTCGAAACTTGTGCAGGGCATAAAGAGTTTGGATGCGGAACTACACAGTCAGGTGGGGTTTTGTGAACAGTACTATCTGGGTAATCTCAGTGTGATATATTTTCTTGTAAATTAGAGGCAAAGCCTACTACATGGCTGTCGTCAGTTGTTTGTGTGTAGAAGCATAATCTTTTGTATTACAGCACTGAGCGTACACGATCAATATGGTACTTTCAAAAAACGTAGCTTCATGTATTTAGACATATGTATGTCAGCACACACATTTTTTACCCACTGTCACACAATCACCGGTATATATATATTATGAAAGGTGTGTATGTGAAAAATTGCTAATGGATATGGATATATATATGTATATATACATATATATGTGTGTGTTTGTGTGTGTGTGTGTGTATGTATGTATACATCAATATATAAATATATATATACATACATACATATATTATTATATATATGAATATATATATATATATATATATATATATATATATATATATATATATATATATATATATATATATATATATATATATATATATATATATATATATATATATATATATATATATATATATATATATATATATATATATATATATATATATATATATATATATATATATATATATATATATATATATATATAATAATA